AAGTAGAAAGTGGATGGAAAGTAGGGAGAGTAGAGAAGTATTGGACTAGGGAAATGTAGTGGAAGTGTTGTTAGGCAACATGACAGGTTTACTTGAGATTTTGGTCATGAGTTTGAAAGATACTGGACAGCTTGATTGTGTTTTTCTCCAGCTAAGTTGAATTCAGGTGTGTGAGGGCAGGCACACAGTGAATTAAGTGTTGAAAATAATAGGGCTGTAGTTTTACCAAGTGGATATAAGGGAGGGAGGGAGGGGTACAAGGTAATTATGTTAGTAATTGACCATGGAATTTAAGCTGGCTAAGAAAGGAAGGGAGGACATCAGGATAGTAAAAGTTTAAAAATTTGTGGAAGATCGCTGTTTTGTTCTAGTTAAGTGGAATGATTGTCATCATCCAGATAGAAGAAGTAAGTTGCAGAGGTTAGGTGATAGTTGGAGAGTAGGATTCTTTTTTTTTAGTTTTTTTTTTTTTTTAATTCCAGTGTTCTTGACATACAATGTTAAACTAGTTTCAGCTGTACAACATAGTGGCTCAACAATTTCTATACATTACTCAGGGCTTACCATGGTAAATTTACTCTTAATTCCCTTCACCTAGTTCACCAGTGCTCCCCCCCCCCCCGCCCCCCTCTCATTTGTTAACCATCAGTTTGTTTTTGATAGTTAAGTCTATTTCTTAGTTTGTCTCTCTTTTTTCTTTTTTTAAAAGTATTTTATTTTAATTTATATTATTTTAAGTAGGCTCCAAGCCCAGCATGGGGCTTGAACTCACTACTCTGAGATCAAGAATTGCATCCTGTACTGACTAAGCCAGCCAGGTGTCCTCCCTTATCTTACTTTGTTCCTAAATTCTGTATATAAGTGAGATCATATGGTATTTGTCTTTCTCCGAGTTATTTCATTTAGCGTTATACTCTCTAGCTTCGTCCACATCGTTGCAAGTGAAAAGATTTTGTTTTTTTGATGGCTGAGTAATATTCCATTGTGTATGTATACCACATCTTTTTTTTTTTTTTAATTTTTTTTTCAACGTTTATTTATTTTGGGGACAGAGAGAGACAGAGCATGAACGGGGAAGGGGCAGAGAGAGAGGGAGACACAGAATGGGAAGCAGGCTCCAGGCTCTGAGCCATCAGCCCAGAGCCCGACGCGGGGCTCGAACCCGCGGACCGCGAGATCGTGACCTGGCTGAAGTCGGACGCTTAACCGACTGCGCCACCCAGGCGCCCCTATACCACATCTTTATGCATTCATCTATCAGTGGACACTTGGGCTGCTTCCGTAATTTGGTTATTGTAAATAATGCTGCAATAAACTTAGAGGTGAATGAAATGCCAGCCAAATTCAAGACAAAGAAATGGAAAGACATTCCATGCTATGGGTTGTAAGAACAAATATTGTTAAAATGACTGTACTACCCAAAGCCGTCTACACATTTAATGAAATCCCTGTGAAAATACTAACAGTATTTTTCGCAGAACTAAAACGATCCTAAAATTTCTATGGAACTGCAAGACGTCGAATAGCCAAAGCAGTCTTGAAACACAAGAACGAAACTGAAGGTATCACAAGTCCAGATTTCATGTTAGGTTACAAAGAAGTAGCAATTAAAACAGTATGGTACTGGCATAAAAATTCATGCATAGATCAGTGGAATAGAACAGAAGACCCAAAAATAAAGCCACAATTATATGGTCAGTTAATCTTTGGCAAAGGCAAGATGAGTATGCATTGGGAGAAAGATAATCTCTTAGGGGTGCCTGGGTGGCTCATTTGGTTAAGTGTCCCAATTCGTTTCGACTCAGGTCATAATTTCACAGTTCGTGGGTTCGAGCCCCATGTTGCTCTTTGTGTGCACAGCTCAACGCATGCTTGAGATTCTCCCTCTCTCTCTGCCCCTACCCTGCTCATACTCTCTCTGTCTCTCAAATAAAAGAACTTAAAAAAAATCTCAACAAATGGTGTTGGGAAAACTGGACAGCCGCATAGAAAAGTACAAAACTGGTCCATACACAAAAATAAACCCAAAATGGATTAAAGACCTAAATATGATCATTGAAACCATAAAAAGCCTTGAAGAGGGTACAGGCATTGAAATCTCTGACATTGGTCATAACATTTTTCTAAATAAGGCTCCTGAGACGAAATAAAAGCAAAAATAAACTACTGGGACTCCGTTAAAATGAAAAGTTTCTGCACAGCAAAGGTAATGGTTATCAAAACTAAAACATAGCCTACTGAAAGGGATAAGATAGTTGCAAATGACATAGCCCATAAAGGGTTAGTATCCAAAATATGTGAAGAACTGAAAGAACTTAACACCCAAAAAACAAAAAATCCAATTTAAAAATGGGCAGAAGCGGGGCCCCTGGCTGTCTCAGTCAGTAGAGTGCATGACTCTTGATCTCAGAGTCCTCCATTCAGGCCCCAGGTTGGTGGATGTTGAGCTTAAAAAAAAATTAAAAAGAAAAAAGAAGGGCAGAAGACTGAACAGACATTTCCCCAAAGACATAGAGGTGGCTAACACACATGAAAAATGTTCAGCATCACTCATCATGAGTTAAATGCAAACCAAAACCATAATGAGGGGTGCCTGGCTGTCTCATTTGGTAGAACATGTGACTCGATCTTAGGGTCATGAGTTTAAAACCCACATTGGGCACATAGTTTACTTCAAAAAATGAGATATTACTTGACCTGGCATAATGGCTAAAAGAAAAAATACAAGGAACAAGTGTTAGGATGTGAAGAAAAAGGAACCTTCCTGCACTGTTGGTGGGAATGCAGATTGTGGAAAACAGGATGGAGGTTCCTCAGAAAATTAAAAATAAAACTACTTTATGATCTAGCAATGGCACTAGTGAGTATTTACCAAAAGAATACAAAAACACCAATTCAGAAGTATACATGGACCCCTGTGTTTATAGCAGCACTATTTACAATAGGCCAACTGTGGAAGCAGCCCAAGTATCCATTGATAGATGAATGGATAAAGAAGGTGTGTGTGTGTATATATTTATATATATATATATATATATATATATATATACACACACATACATAGGGGATATAAGGGATGGGAATTAAAGAGTACAGTTATAAGGTAAATTGATTTTTAAAATAAACATAGGGGTGTATATATCTCTTCAGGGTGGTGTTTTTGTGTTCTTTCGTAAATACCCAGCAGTGCAATTTACTGGATCATAGGATGGTTCTATTTTCGTAGCAGGTGAGGATGTAGTTCTGTTTTTAATATTTTGAGGAGTCTCCATATTGTTTTCCATAGAGGCTGATCCAGTTTGCATTCCCACCAGCAGTGCGTGAAGATTCCTTTTTTCTACATCTTCGCCAACCCTTGTTTCTTTTGTGTTTTTGGTTTTAGCTAATATGACATGTCAGTTGATCGCTCATTGTTTTGATTTGCATTTGCCTGATGCTGAGTGACGTTGAGCATCTTTTCATGTATCTTTGGCCCTCTATCATCTTCCAAGAAATGTCTGTTCATGTGTTCTGTCCAAGGAGAGTAGGATTCTTTAAACTGAGTTTATGGAAAGGTTCGGTTATTGTTAACCATAGAAGCTAGTAACTGCGATTGGGTGGTGTACAAGATCATTAATATGGAGGAGTTTAAGGACCTGGACGGTTAGGGTATTGGCAGAATCAGCTATGTGGGTTTTTTAACAACCAAGAATGGCAGGAGTAGCGTTGGAGACAACGCTAAATCTCAGGGGAGTGAGGAAGCGTGGCTCAGATGGCTGTAGATGATTACATAAAGAGGAACAGCAGACAGTGGAGTCTAGTAACAGGGTTCTTGAAACTGAGGGTTTTTAGGAAGGAAGGAGAGAGGAAAAATCTGGAAGTGGGTGTAAGGAGCAAGTAAGATTGCTTCCCCATCTGTGGTATGATGATTGGAGGGATATGGAGAAGACATTTCATTTGAGATATCTGCAAGGAAAGAGGCATCTTTGGGGAAAGTTAGATTTTAAAGCAAGGAGATAAAGGGAATATTCAGAGAAGAGGTTAAAGATATTGGGAGCAGGGTTTAATGATGGCTCAAGAGATCTCAGCAGAAGTTTCAGCAGTTGACAATTGTAGAAGATAGGAGAACATGAGGCATACTAGTGGTGACCAAGAAACAGCTATATAAAAGCAGTGCTGATGGTCTGTTCTAGTGTCTCTTGTTATCTAACAAACTCCCCAAAACTTAGTACCTTGAAATAGTAATTATCATTTTATTATCTGTCATGGTTTCTGTGGGTCAAGAATTTGTGAAGGCCTTGCTGGACATTTGTCCTTTAGATCTTTCACGTGGTTGCATTCACATAGACATTGGAGCTACAGTAGCCCAGGACTGAGCAGCTAGAGATTGAAAGCCGTTTTGTTTCTTCCTGTCCTCTCAGGGCTTCACATGATCTCAGTGTGTGGGCTGGTTTGGATTTCTTTATACCCCTTTATAATCCTACTCTCCTTTCTCTCACCTGCTGTTCCCCGATCACTGCTGGATCACACTTTCTGTCGCTGATTAGTATGCATTTTCTAGAAGTTTATAAACATTAAATCTTTTGTTTGCCTTCCTTTACTCAGCATAGTCAGTTTCACACATTTTGTTGTATATATTAGTTGTTCATTCCTTTTTATTGCTGCAGTATCCCATTTTATTATTATACTAGAATTTGTTTATGCATTCACTTGTTCATAAATGTTTCGATTGTTTTCTTTTTTTTATGCTGAAGAGTTTATTTTTTTTTTCAATATATGAAATTTATCGTCAAATTGGTTTCCATACAACACCCAGTGCTCATCCCAACAGGAGCCCTCCTCAATACCTATCATCCACCCTCCCCTCCCTCCCACCCCCCATCAACCCTCAGTTCTCAGTTTTTAACAGTCTCTTATTCTTTGGCTCTCTCCCATTCTAACCTCTTTTTTTTTTTTTTTTTCCCTTCCCGTCCCCCATGGTCTTCTGTTAAGTTTCTCAGGATCCACATAAGAGTGAAAACATATGGTATCTGTCTTTCTCTGTATGGCTTATTTCACTTAGCATAACACTCTCCAGTTCTGTCCACGTTGCTACAAAGGGCCATGCTTCATTCTTTCTCATGGCCACGTAGTACTCCATTGTGTATATAAACCACAATTTCTTTATCCATTCATCAGTTGATGGACATTTAGGCTCTTTCCATCGTTTGGCTATTGTTGAGAGTGCTGCTGTGAACATTGGGGTACAAGTGCCCCTATACATCAGCACTCCTGTATCCCTTGGGCAAATTCCTAGCAGTGCTATTGCTGGGTCATAGGGTAGGTCTATTTTTAATTTTTTGAGGAACCTCCACACTGTTTTCCAGAGCGGCTGCACCAGTTTGCATTCCCACAACAATGCAAGAGGGTTCCCGTTTCTCCACATCCTCGCCAGCATCTGTAGTCTCCTGATTTGTTTATTTTGGCTACTCTGACTGGCGTGAGGTGATATCTGAGTGTGGTTTTGATTTGTATTTCCCTGATGAGGAGCGACGTTGAGCTTCTTTTCATGTGCCTGTTGGCCATCTGGATGTCTTCTTTAGAGAAGTGTCTATTCATGTTTTCTGCCCATTTCTTCACTGGATTATTTGCTTTTCGGGTGTGGAGTTTGGTGAGCTCTTTATAGATTTTGGATACTAGCCCTTTGTCCGATATGTCATTTGCAAATATCTTTTCCTGTCCGGTTGGTTGCCTTTTAGTTTTGTTGGTTGTTTCCTTTGCTCTGCAGAAGCATTTTATCTTCATAAGGTCCCAGTAGTTCATTTTTGCTTTTAATTCCCTTGCCTTTGGGGATGTGTCGAGTAAGAAATTGCTACGGCTGAGGTCAGAGAGGTCTTTTCCTGTTTTCTCCTCTAGGGTTTTGATGGTTTCCCGTCTCACATTCAGGTCCTTTAACCATTTTGAGTTTATTTTTGTGAATGGTGTGAGAAAGCGGTCTAGTTTCAATCTTCTGCATGTTGCTGTCCAGTTCTCCCAGCACCATTTGTTAAAGAGACTGTCTTTTTTCCATTGGATGTTCTTTCCTGCTTTGTCAAAGATGAGTTGGCCATACGTTTGTGGGTCTAGTTCTGGGATTTCTATTCTATTCCATTGGTCTATGTGTCTGTTTTTGTGCCATCGATTGTTTTCATTTGGGGACAGTTAATAATAGAGCTGCTGTGAATATTAGTGGAGAAGACTGTGTGGACATAAGTTTTCATTTCTGTTGGAAGTCTGCTCATGGAGTAGGTGTGTTTTAACTTTTTAAGAAGCTGCCTTGGGGGGTGCCTGACTGGCTCCGTCGGTAGAGCATGAGATTCTTGATCTCTGGGTGGTGAGTTTAAACCCCACATTGGGTATGGAGCCTACATTTAAAAAAAAAAAAAAACTGCCTTGGGAGCACCCTTCTATTTGTTAAGTGGGATGCTACCCATTGAATAAATCCAGTCAGACCTTAAAAAAAAAAGTGCCAAACTCTTCTTCAAAGTGGTTGAACCATTTTATATTTTGACTAGCAGTGTATGACGGTTCCACTTTTTCCACATCCTTGTTAATTTTGAAATGCTCATCTTTTTTTTTTTAATTTAATTTTTTATTTTTTAAAATTTACATCCAAATTAGTTAGCATATAGTGAAACAATGATTTCAGGAGTAGATTCCTTAGTGCCCCTTACCCATTTAGCCCATCCCCCCTCCCACAACCCCTCCAGTAACCCTCAGTTTGTTCTCCGTATTTATGAGTCTCTTATGTTTTGTCCACCTCCCTGTTTTTATATGTTTGTTTCCCTTCCCTTATGTTCACCTGTTTTATCTGTTAAAGTCCTCATATGAGTGAAGTCATAGGATGTTTGTCTTTCTCTAATTTCACTTAGCATAATACCCTCCAGTTCCATCCATGTAGTTGCAAATGGTAAGATTCCATTCTTTTTGATTGCCGAGTAATACTCCATTGCATATATATACCACATCTTCTTTATCCATTCGTCCATCGATGGACATTTGGGCTCTTTCCACACTTTGGCTATTGTGGATAGTGCTGCTATAAACATGGGGGTGCATGTGTCCCTTCGAAACAGCACACCTGTATCCCTTGGATAAATGCCTAGTAGTGCAGTTGCTGGGTCGTAGGGTAATTCTATTTTTAGTTTTTTGAGGAACCTCCATACTGTTTTCCAGAGTGGCTGCACTAACTTGCATTCCCATGGTCATCTTTTTTTTTAAGGTTTGTTAATTTATTCTGAGAGAAATGGAGGGTGGGTGAGGGGCAGATAGCGAGGAAGAGAGAAAGAATTGCAAACAGGTTCCACGCTGTCAGCATAGAGCCCAACTCAGGGCTGTGAGATCATGACCTGAGCCAAAACCAGACACTTAACTGGCTGAACCACCCAGGTGCCCCTAAATGTTTATTTTTGAGAGAGCACAAGCAGTGGAGGGGTAGGGACAGAAGATCTGAAGCAGGCTCCATGCTGACAGCAGAGAGCCCAATTCTGGGCTCAAACTCATGAAACATGAAATCCTGACCTGAGCCAAATAGGATGCTTAACTAATTGAGCCATCAATTAATCATCATTTCATATGTTTATTTGCTGTCAGTGTACTATTTTCTTTGGCAAAATGCTGAGATCTGTTGTTTGTTTACTGTTTTTTAATGTTTATTTTTATTTTTGAGAGAGAGAGTACAAGCAGAAGAGGGGTAGAGAGAGGGAGACACAGAATCTGAAGCAGGCTCCAGGCCCTGAGCTGTCAGCACAGAGCCTGATGTGGGGCTGGAACTCACAAACTGTGAGATCATGACCCGAGCTGAAGTCGGAAGCTCAACCGACTGAGCCATCCAGGCGCCCCAAGATTTCATTCTTTTTAATTGCCAAGTCATACTCCAATGTATATATAGACCACATCTTCTTTATCCATTCATCAGTAAGTGAACATTTGGACTCTCTCCATAGGTTGGCTATTGTTGATAGTGCTGCTATAAACATTGGGGTGCATGTACTCCTGTATTTTTAATAGCACACTTAAATAATAATCTATTTTTAATAGCACACTTTTTTGATTACAGTAGCTTCACAGTACTTGTTGAAGTAAGATAATGTAAATCTTCCAGCTTTGCTTTGCTTTTTCAGAATTGATTTGTCTTTTCTAGGTCCTTTGTATTTCCACATGAGTTTTACAGCTTGTCAATTTAATATATATTGACCCTTGAACAGCCATGGTTTGAGCTGGACAGGTCCACCTATATGTGAATTTTTTTCCCCATAAATATAGTACAGTATTGTAAATGTATTTTCTCTTCCTTAGAATTTTAATATTTTCTTTATTTTGTAAGAATACAGTGTATAATACATCAAGCATATATTAATAGGCTGTTTATATTATTTGTAAGGCTTCTGGTCAACAGTAGGCTAATAATGGTTAAGGTTTTGGGGAGTCAAAAATTATACACAGAGGGATACCTGGCTGGCTCATTTGGTAGAGCATGCAACTTTTGATTTTGGTGTCATGAGTTCCAGCTCCATACGGAGTATGGAGCCTGCTTAAAAAAAAAAAAAAAGCTGGGGCAACTGGGTGGCTCAGTCAGTTGAGCATCTGACTTCAGCTCAGGTCATTATCTTACAGTTCGCCAGTTGCAACCTCACCTTGGACCCGCTGCTGACAGCACAGAGCCTGCTTCAGATCCTCTGTCCTCTCTCCCCCGCCCCTCTCTCTCTGCCCCTTCCCCACTTGCACTCTCTCAAAAATAAATACTAAAAATATATATGAAAACTACAGTTCTCAGCACCCCTAGCCTCCCTCCCCCACAGTTGTTCAAGGGTCAACTGTAGTTTACTTTTCTGTTAGAATTGCTAAGGTTGGGTTTTGTTTTGTTTTAACCCAAGTTTTCCCTGATCATACTTGGTTGGTTGAAGCTTATTTTCAGTAGATTTCTCTGGAAAGGTTAGTGAGTATAGTATTCTTCAACATTGTAAACTTAGTTTTCCTGCTCAAGGGTCAGCTAGGCCATATCACAAAATCCTTGACTCCTACTTTTTCCCACAAATTTCTCTGGGAAAATCTTATACTAATTATTTTTCTTTATTTTGTACCTGACTTGGTCTTTTTGTTTAGAGGCATTGAGATTTTTTTTTTTTTAGAATTTTATTTTGTTTTTGATTTTTAGCTTTTATTCTTCAGGTATTCCTGTATACATTTATACATATATTAAATATTCTTTGCTAGTTATCTGTATTTAACACTTTTTTTCTTTTTCTTTTTCTTTTATTTTTTTTTTAATGTGTTTTCTTTGGTACCCCCTAAATTTTCAGTCAGATATATTCTGCCTTGGATGCTTTGTAGCCAACGTTACTTTTTCTCTCATTTCTATCTTGATTTTAACTCCCAATTCAAATCTTGCCCTTTTGCCCTGTTTTCCCATCTTAGGTTATAAATCTTTTGATTCAGGGTGGTTTGCAGATGCTAGTTTATTTAATTTCAATTGGGTGTTTTCTTTTTTTTGTGATTGTTATTTGGGAAGTTTTATTAGCTGAACTATTTTTTGTTCTAATAGCTTTGTATAAAATCTTAGGTGTCTTTTCATTTTGAAATGTCTTGTTTCCTTGATCTGAGCATAATCATTGCCATGTGAGGAGTTTGGTTGCTATGTATTTTACTTTTAAGAATGCCCTTTTGAGGGGCGCCTGGGTGGCGCAGTCGGTTAAGCGTCCGACTTCAGCCAGGTCACGATCTCGCGGTCCGTGAGTTCGAGCCCCGCGTCGGGCTCTGGGCTGATGGCTCAGAGCCTGGAGCCTGTTTCTGATTCTGTGTCTCCCTCTCTCTCTGCCCCTTCCCCGTTCATGCTCTGTCTCTCTCTGTCCCAAAAAAATAAATAAACGTTAAAAAAAAAAAATTAAAAAAAAAAAAAAAAGAATGCCCTTTTGAGGGCACGTGGGTGGCTCAGTCGGTTGGGTGTGTGACTTTGGCTCAGGTCATGATCTGAGCATGGTTGGTTCATGGGTTCGAGCCCCTATGTCAGTGCAGAGCCTGCTTGGGATTCTCTCTCTCCCTCCCTCCTTCCCTCCCTGTCTC